GAAGATAATCAAGCACTGGAATAAATGAATGTTAAAAACTCTAAAGAAAATTTCCTGAATTAAAGAAATAATCATTAAAGTTGCATATTGCAAAATGACATCGTGTACCTGGGAAAGACTGACCTAGTAGACGCTGTCTGGTAAAACTACTGGAATTCAAAGAAAAAGGAAAAGGAGTCTTTCGGGAATCCAGGCAGAAAAATGAAATTTCTTGCAAGGGAAAGAATCCCTTCTATTATTACTTTTGCCAGAAGCCAAAGGAATAATATGCTTAAAACTCAAGGGAAAAAACTGTAAGCCAAGGGGTTTATATTCGGCTAATCAGACTTGCAAGTACAAAGGTTGTGGACAAAGTGTTATGAACATGAAAGAATTGTAGGAGATGCCTCCTAGAGAATAAGCTTTAGACAATCAAATGACTGGAGGACATTAACATAAGTCTAGCTGTGAACTTTTAATATATAGGTACCTGTACAACTAAGACTAAATGTTTGTTATAAGGAAGATAGTCTAACTCGTAATGACTATATGCTTTGACAACGCAGATAGGTACAACTAACCAAAAGTGGGGCAACAATGGGGAGAAAATATGAAAAGTAGAACAAGTTCATTAATTTCTTTATAGGCATAACTAGGGTTTAGATTTGGGGGTTGAAAAAAGAGATGGAGAAGATACTAGCTAATTTCAATATTGCTCATCATAGAGAACTAAGAGACAAAAATAGAAGAGGCTAATGGCATTATATAAATATATTAGTACAAAGGAAACCATTGGAACAACAATAACAGCAAAAAACTGCTTTATTTTACAGGCCATAATTTGTGCACACGCGTGCACGTGCACACACTTGCGGTGGGGAGGGTCAGAGGGGGAGAAAATGTGCTAATGAGCACAGATACTGTGCGAATGGGATGATTTCCTCCTCACAAACAAGCACCAGTCCGGTTCAGTAAGAGGAAGTGGGAGGAGGGCAAAGAAAGCTTCTCTGCCTCAGTCCATCCGAGACTGAGGGAACTGAGGCTAATCACATCAAAGGTTTTCATCCTTCTAAGTAACCAGTAATGTATAGTTAGAAGTGACCACTGGAGTGTCCTGATACATATTTCACTGTTCATGAGAACTGGATAGGCTTTTTGAATTTGGATCCAAGAGGCAGCATAACTGATTCTAGATATACAACTACTGGTTGATGTGAATAAAGCTAAGGATTGTTCCTTGGGCATAAAAAAAAGTGTATGTCATTAAAAGATAAATGTCTCCACTGAATAAACAAAAGGAATATTTCCAGGGAAACACTTCAAATTAAAAGATCTATGGTGAGCAATGAATACTGTGGCTGAAAGTCTCCGAGAAGACTTCTTGTTGCCTGGTAGTTAAGATTTTTTTGTTGAAAAGCTTCTTATCAGCATCTAGCTCAAGTATAAACATCTGATTATTGCCACCACCTGTCTCTACAAGAGTATTCTCATTTCTCAATAAACCTGCTTTCGTGCCCTCTGTCCTAATCAAACATATGCCTGGTGACTTTCTCAACAAGGTGACTTCCTTCTAGTTGATTTCCAGCCCTGTAGTGATAGAACACCCTGTTTGCCACAGTGAAACTCCACTCCTCTGAAAAGAAGTCTCCAGATACCTCCCCTCAGGGAAATGAAATGAACCATGATCTTGCCTAACCTGCACCTTCAATCCTTATTTTTCACTATTCTTCTTTAAAGCAGTCACTCTTCTTTCAGTGATATATATATATATATTTTTTTAGTGGCAACTTCATATCTACATTACTCTTTCTAGAAGGCATGTGAGGCTTTTCCTGATGCTGACCTCAGTTAATTAGCATGACACATGCCTGGCTAAATAGTTCCTTGGGCCAGTGTTTGGTAAGGGAGATGCAGTGGCTGCAGGAAAGATTAGGGGCCAAGGTTCCCCACAGCAGCTTCCTCTTCTCACCAAAGCCTAAATTGGGAAAAGCCTTTCTCCTCCAAAGTGAAGAAAAAATAATGGCAAACATAACAATGGCTTGAAGGGAAAAGGAAAAAAGATGAAAACTCAAAAAATTGTATTTTTTTTCCCCCTAAACCCAATTCTTTGTTGCACTGAAGAGGGATGGGTGGGAAATGACCCCTGCAGGGGAGGGGTCCCTGACCAACTGCTTGGGTCAGGTTAAAGGAAAAAGGTCCTGGCCAACCTTTTGCTCTTGGGTTCATAGTTCTTTATTTAGCAGAGCCCTTCAGTGAGTTTGGGATCTGCAATGGAAGCAAACTGCTTCTCATGAATTAATAAAAATTTAGAGAGTGGGAGAGGCCAGCATTTGGGGTGGGGAGTAGCTAATAAGTTGGTGATAAACCAGGGCCTAAAAAGTAGTGCCACCATCTTGAAATTTACCCTATTGGGAAATAGCTAGTAAGCTGTTATGACAGTATTGACTAGATTTCTGCTTTAATCTATCACCTATCCTGTGCTGTTCTGCAATTCCCTTATGTTAGTCCAACCCTTCAGGAAAATTCTGCTATATCCAAAAACATGGTCTTCATGTTATTGGAAGATGGGCTGCTAGTATCCAACATGGGGCAAACAGGACCAAGAAGAGAGGAGGCCATCAAGAGAAACAAGTGTAATGGTTTGGCTAGATAGATCAGAAAAATGCTATCTCTGGAGAAATCAATGGGAATACCAGCTGGAGGGAGAGGGGGTAATTTCCCAAAGTAACAGGGGTGAGGTTTCCACTGTCTTATTTGCATACTAAAGAGAGGTTTCGAAAGCTGTAAGAGGTGAGGACATCTGGTTAATACTAGGATTAAAATAATTAAAATACTTGAGTTATCTGCCAGTCCCATGGTTCCCGACTGTATTTCTCAGACTAGTGAAATTTTAGGGACTCCTGGGGTTGTCAACTTTTTATTGTATTATGCAAAGATATTTTAAAAACGAATTTTCACCATTGTTTCATAAAATAAGAAGCATTTAAACATGTAGACAGGCAAAATGGAAAGGGCATAATTTCATGACAATTGTTAAAAATGTTGTTTTTATCTGGAGTGATCTCACCCTTTCAACCTACTAAAATGTATATTTTATTTTTTTAAAAGATTGAGTTATTTATTTTAGAGGAGGGGCAGGAAGGCACAGAGGGAGAGAGAGAATCCCAAGCAGACTCCACGCTGAGCCGCGGAACCCGCACAGGGGTCGATCCCAGAACCCTGAGATCATGACCTGAGCTGAAATCAAGAGTTGGACGCTTAACTGGCTGAGCCACCCAGGCGCCCCCACAAGTATGTATTTTATTTTACTTAGTTTTAGTTTACCGTTTCCTTAAATCTTTCTTCACTTATTCACTTTTCAGAGACATTAGTAGATGAACACGACTCTGCCCCTGTCCTCAGTATCTCACACTTCTCTAGGGAAGTCAGGCAGGTGACCCACCTGCGGACAGTGCACCTGCGCCTCTGGCAGAGAAACTCACCAAGTACTAAGGGCAGAAAGGCCAAGCAGCAGGTAAGAAACAGTCAATCTATTTCTAAGCAGAAGTGCAAGAAATACTAAAGCCTGATGTCAGAACTCACTTTGCACATACCATCTGAGTTTCCTTACTGACGATTTAGGGGGAAACTGATAGTACACCCCAGAGATCATGGATTTTTTTCAGACTTATTCATTCTGAGCAAATTACAGGGCTAGGAACACAACTGACGTGCCATCTCAGCTGGCCCATACCGCACACTGGACAGGAAGAGAGGCGAGTGGCATGGAATTAGGGGGATAAAACTGTCCCTCTCACTTGTCCCCAGTAGAACGGCTCTGCACATGGTCACGCTGCTCACTTGAGGACATACAACCTGCAGGGCAGCAGGGGACAGGCCAGGGTGAGGGCTGTGCTGCCCTGGCGACCGCACCTTTGGGGCCAGACTGGAGATGGGGAACTTGCTCCATACACACGGTTGGGAGATGACTGGGAGTGCTGGTGGGCACACTGGTCCATCCTGCTCAATACTACTCCAAGCTACCAGGTTTCTGAGTTCTGATTCTCAGCGAGAGGTAGAGAGGGAGGTCTATTGTGGTGGCCAAGTCATCTGGTTCTGGAATCTCCCGAGGGAGCAGGGAATGGAATGCTGGCACAGTAAGGGACACACATACACATTCATATGGGAAGAAGATCCAGACGCAGGTACACTGGGGAGTCTTCTCTTTTCTCTGTGCCCCAGAGGGGACCATATTAGAGGGAAAAACCTACCTATGCATTTTTTTCTACATTATATAATCCGAGTATATGTATCAAAGAGATAGTTGCTGGAACAGTCATTTCCTCCCTTGTCTCACCTCGATCCTTGTCAGAAATAGGTCTAGAACTTTCCCACAATTACCCATCCTTATTTAACACCAAACCCCCAGGGATCGGCGGCCGGCTGCAGTTGCAACAACATCTCTGGCCAGGTCTTGTGGCTTCTCGGAAGCGCGGATGTGTGACAGTAGTACAGAATCGCAGGAAGTGACTACTGAACACACACGCTCTGCAGCTTGCGTCCATTCTCACACATTCGTGTTTTAGATTCTGAGCAGCTCTCCCTCCCCATGCGCTATGAAATAGAAGGGTCTGGCAGAATCATCCAAATGAAATGAGGTTCCTTCTCCCCCGGGAGATTAAGAACAGAGGTGAGGTCCTTTCCCTCCGCAACCATAGAAATCTCGAGTTTCCTAGAGAAAGGCCCAGCAGGGGGCCAGAAGCCACAGAAGGTGCAGGGAACCCGCGCCTCTGCAAAGCCCCGAAATGCCAGGGGACCCGGCCAGGGAAGGTACGAGATGAACCGGAGTTGTACCCGAGGCCGGTTGCGGGAGGATGCGGCAGCCCGGGGCAGGGCAGTGATTGCTTTGAAGGGAAAAGGGAACAAGGGTCCGCTGGTCCCTGAGGACTCCCGAGGTCATTTCCCAAGGGACCCAAAGCAGCGACGGGGTTCTGAGATCTGGCAAGTTCCTGGGAGTCGAGCGAGGAGAGCGAGAGTCTTACCTGGCCCGGCTGGCTGGTGTAGTTGAAGGAGTAGATGTTCTCCGTGGTGAGACTCACCACCCCGCTGTAGACGCGATCGAAATCGGAGCCCCTGGCGGGGTCGCGGCGGTCGCGGCTCGGGAGGGGTTGCGCGGGTCGCCGGGGTGCCGCCGCGTGCAGGAGCCAGGGTAGCAGCGCGCAGAGCAGCGCGATCCGCGGGCAGCCCCGCATGGTGGGCGCCGCGCCCCTGCCACCAAGGAGAGCCTCCCTGGCGAGGGGGCGAGCTCAGAGCGGGTCCTTCCAAAGCCCCCCTGCGGGCCTGGGCGCCGGCTTCAGCGCAGCGCGGGTGATGCCTGGCAAGCCCCTCTGGCGAGTGCTGGCAGCCCCCGGGCGAAGGACCGATCAAATATTGATGCAGCCGCCTGGGGTCTCCGCGGGAGGTCGCGGGCCAGGAGCGGGGGCGAAGGGTACGGGGGCCTGGGGCTGCTGCTTTGCTCTCCGGCTTCTAAGTCCTTTTCCTTCCCCTTTCCTCATTTCTCATAATCCCCCACTTACCCAGCCAGGATTTCAACAGATCTCTTCCCTACTCAATCTCAAAAAAATAATAATAAAAAATAAATTTAAAAAGGCATTAGAGACATTAAAATAGAAATATTCACTAGTCTTAAAGAGTCAACCTGACTAGCCACGAAGCAGGAAATAGTCTGTTTCAAGTAAACGTGCACCCTGACTGCAAGGGAAGAAACAGAAAGCCACAGACCCTGTCCCCAAAGAGGGTGCACGAGTTTGCTTTTCCTGTCTGCTACCTGCAGAGAATTGCCCGTTTGAATGATGGTTACTAACTCTCAGCTCTCCCTTCTCTAACAGAACCCCTTGCCAGACACCTGTTTTATTTTCTTATCATCTTTTATTCTCAGGGAGACCCTCACATCATCGCTTTCTCTCTCCCTCACTGTTTGTGTCCCTATTAAATATGTACAGTCATAAAAACTGAAGAGAGAGGGTAAAGAAGACAATTTCCACCACGCCTGAAATCTGGTCCCGGAAGTTGTCAAGGACGTCTCAGCGAAGCTGGCTTTCTGCAGCAGGTTTCTTTCCGTCCTCCCCAACTTCTTGCCTACTTTACCTCTGCAATGACTTCTTAGATTCTGGGAGAAGCCCTGGGATTCTGAATTGTTTTTCAAACGAGAGAAACTACAGCCCATTAAAAGGAAATCTCCTTCTGGCAAAATTTAGGGGATTTGATTTAAACGGTTGGAAGAGGCAGATAAAGGGTGAGGTGGGAAGAGGATCCCTGGGAAATCCTTGGGGAACAACAAACAAGCACAGTTCAGGTGTAGAAGAGAACTTACTCTCTTATTTCAGCTTCAAGTTATTTGTAAACTAGAAAGTAATATAATTGCATTCAATCTGAAGGAACATTTAAAGAGAAGCCAGAAGAAGAAAAGATCGTGTTCAAAGAATTAAGTTACAGATTAAAATCCTAGCATTTACCATTCAAAGGGAGGGTTTGATTTATTTAGTTATTGGGGGGGGGAGGGGCAGCGGGTGAGGGAGACAGAATCTCAAGTAAGGTCCACACCCAGCCTGGAGCCCCACTCAGGGCTGGATCTCACGCCCCTGAGATCATGACCTGAGCCAAAATCAAGAGTTTGAGGCATAACGGACTGAACCACCCAGGCACCCCAGGTTGTTTTTTTTCTTTTTAACCTCATTGAATTTCTATAATTTATTAAAATATCACAAATGAGTTCAATACATTTGGTATAATGTTTTATAACTGTGCAATCAGAAAACAATGCTGATGGAAGATTGAGTTAGAGAGTCCTTATTAGGACAATTTTCACTTTTAAATAAATGTTCTTAAAAATGTATGGGTATAAGGACAAAAATACTAATTCAAAAAGGAGTCTGGGGGTAAAGTTTAAAGTGCAGCTCATTGTTTTAAGAAATATAATAATTTCATCCAGAATTTGAATGACATTAAACTGCTATATTTAAAATGTGTATGCCTCTTTTGAGCATTTAACAAAATTTCATAAACTTGAAGTTTATCAAGTCCTTCAAGGTTAGCTGGCCTGGCCAGTTCAAGCACTCTCTACAGCTAGAGGGTCATGGAGTCCTACTCAGCACCACAAGAGATGAGGAACTGGCTTTTTCACAAGGTAACTCCTTCTTTTGGGGGCAAGTGTCTCATTATTAGAACAATATTTCACAGTCTAAATTGAAATCTGCCTCTCTTCCACTCATTGGCATGGGTTCTGCCCTCTGGAGCCATAGGAATAAACTTAATCCTTCTTCCACATGACAGCCTTGTAGGTATTTGAAGGAGCTATGACCCTAACTTTAAGCACTGAAATTAGAAGTGATTAGAACAGATCCTTTATCTTAGCAAAGAACTCAAAATATTTATTTTAAAGCCCTTATAGATGACATATATAACAATTTGAATTATATATTTCAAATTATACTATGATCTAATCCTCATTCCATTGAATGACCTTGGGCATTTAACCTCCCAGGATCACAAGGTTGCTGTAAGGATAAGGGGGCGGGGGTGGGGGGCGGAGAAGAATGTATTTGAAATTGTATTAGAAAGTTTAACATGTTGTATGACCAAATATTGTTATTGTATGACTCCTAGTTCAACAGCTAAAAAGTTAAATATGGTCCATCAATCAGGCTTGTAGAATATCTACAATGCCAAGCTTCCACTGTGACAGGCTGAATATAAGAACACACAATGGCTAGACCATATATGATAATAGACCTCTGACCTCAAACTCTACAGCAACTGGTCTAGGAAGCCAAACCACAATCTTTATAGCAAATGGCCCAGAACAATCAGGACTTGGTCAGTGACTGCCAACTTCCCCAATTTTTGCCTCTGCTCCCAACTCAAGATCAATCAGAGGAATCCAAATATGCTCTGCAAACCACAAAAATACCCCACTTCTAGTTAGCCTACTTGCAGCTTCTCTATGCCACCAAGATACAATCAGAGTATTCTGAAACCTTGCCTTTTTTTCATTGTAAAGCTTTCCCTGTTCCTTGCCTGCCTTTGAGTCTTGGCCAAGCACAGGTGATGGTGGCTTGCTATAGCAAGCAAGCTCTGAATAAATAACCTCTGTTTTCATTTGAGTGGTCTTTCTTATTTCCATAGTTTTCCTGAAGGTTCCAACGAGATACTGTCTGTATTACCTGTCACCATGGACTCCAACCTTTAACCAGGTGTGCTACACACCAAGGCCCCTCGTGCCTTACAGCTTGCGGTGTTGGGTATATGTTGACATGGTGAGTGAGCACTGTGTCTGAGCTCTGCTTTCTTTGCTTTTGAGTTCTTTGGCTATCTCATCTCAGTTTGATACCTGGGTTTTGTTGTTGGTTCCCATTTGTTTGGCATCTTTGGTGGAGTCTGGCCATTCCTTTTCATCCCTTTTTGCTCTCTTTCCTGCTTCCGTTTTGTGTTATATTGTCCAAAAGTATTGTTTGTCATAGAGTAGAACACTGGTCCAGCATTCTTTTGGACAAACTTTGCTTTGGATCACCTATAAAACTAGGCTATCCTTTGTTTCAATTGTTTTGTCCTTAGAGTTTGGCTTTGATCCACAGAGAGCATTCTCTCTGGTTTTCCACCTGCCTGCAGGTGTAGGTTGTTGGGTCTACATTTGGAGGCAGCTACCTTCAAGTTGGGGTCTCAAGACTCAAAGTGCACAAGTATCACTTTCAGCTGCTAGCTCTTACAGGCTTGGCTAAGTCTAATTCTTCTCTTCCTTTTGGAGAAGCTCCAACTTCTTATATGTCCACTCATTACAATTCTAATTCCTGCACCTATGTTTCAAATGGCGACACTTCACCAAGGATGACCTGGGCCCTCAATGGCCACTCTGTGGAACATTGGTCTTGACCAAAATTATTTATTTGACAGGTGCTTTAAAAAAGAAAAAGAGTAAAGATTTCTCAGATCCAAAGGAATCTTGGATTAAATGAATTGTGTTCAAAAATTGCTTTGCTAAAATATTCTTTGGTCAAAGCTAATGAGAAATTTGGCAAGCTTAGCCAATAATCTAGATTCATTTCCATAGTAAATCCTCTGCCTCCTAGTCCTCCAGCTGCCTTCCTGTGGCAGCTCTCTCACTTCCCCCTTATCCCTCTGAAGTCCCTCCTTTTCTGCACCTCGTCCTTCCTCTTCCCCTTGTCCAGACGCTCGGTCTTTTCCCAGCAACTTTCTAAAACCTCCAAATGCTAGTTGCCTCCAATAGTCTATCCCTCCCATAAGCCAGGTATGCAGGTGACTGTAGAATTTAAACTTTGGATCGGAGATGAATTAAGAGCTATAATGAAAGGTTTCCCTAAACCTAAGCAAGACTGAGCAAAGATTCATAGAAGAATTTGTAATTCTTTGGATGCACATGACCCAGAGTTGCCTGACCTATATCAACTTGTATGCATGTTGATCAGAACCTCAGATGCTAAATCCTAGATGACAAAAGCTGATTGGACCAACCTAGAGAGGGACCTCCAGGATCCTCTACAAAAAACCTTAGGGTCAGAAAAAGGCCAGAAAAATAATTCAAAGTCTCCTAAAAGCCATACCTGAAACATTGCTAATAAAAGTTGATTGGGTCATAATTTAATCATGCAAACAAATAGAAAAATGAAACTATAGGAGATTTGGGGATAAATAGAAAATATCTTCCAACAACACTAATCGTTCTACATCAAATCCTGCCATCTTTGCTCAACCTCTTCCTTGGAGTGAACATAGAACAAAAGTATAAGTATTTCAAACAACTCACAGATTTGTCCCTATATCCCAGCCCTGAACTACAACTTTTGCGTCCCTGATTGAAAAACATCTCTTCCTGCTCTGTGATACCACATCTACAAATTTATTAAGGAGAGATCTACTTTGCAAATAAAACTGTAATATTAATTGCACACCAGAGGGACTATTTTTTGAGGTTTCAGAGGATGTATCAATTACCAATCAACTTGTGTCTGCTCTATATAAAACTTTCCTTCTCCACTATCTTTGATGTATGCTCCTAATACAGATCTTGACATTGTACTTGGCTCTTCATGGGCTAAAATTCCCATTGACATAAGAAAAATAATTGGAGGGCGCCTGGGTGGCTCAGTTGGTTAAGCGACTGCCTTCGGCTCAGGTCATGATCCTGGAGTCCCGCATCGGGCTCCCTGCTCAGCGGGGAGTCTGCTTCTCCCTCTGA